GCCCCATGGCTGGCTCAAGCTCACTCTCTTGGCTATTTGCATTGACATAGCAACCTTGTGAGCTTAGCCAAAGCCCTCCCACTTATCTCCATCATTGATTCAACATCTTTGTGAGATTGGGAGAGAATCCAAGTACATTGCTTGAGTGATTGCATCTAGAGGCACTTGGTGTTCATGTTTTGCTGTCGGATTCGCTTGTTGCTCTTGGTGGTTGCCACCACCTAGACGGCTTGGTACAGTGGAGGAGGAGTGGCACGAGTTGGTGATTGTTTGTGGCCATCTCCCGGTGATTGTGAGGGGACTTGTGCCTTCCCCGACGGAGCGTCGAAAGGTAACCCTAGTGGATTGCTCGTGTCATTGAGTTACCTCACTTGTGGGTAGGTTCTTGTGGTGTCTAATTGTGTGGATAAGGTTCATGCTACACCTCTTAGCCGCCGAACCACCAAGTGTTGGTCGACACAACGGGGACGTAGCATGTTGGCAATCACGTGAACCTCGGAAGAAAATTAGTTGTCTCTTGCCCTTTGGTATTCTCCCAGTGATTGAGTTAGTATTCATCTTGTGATTGGTTCACTCCTCTACGCAGCGGTATAATCACCTTACTTACTCATTTACATACTCGCAAACTAGTTATAGTAAGCTCTTTAGTATAGCTAGAATTGAGAGCTTGCTTTGTAGCTTAAGTTCATCTAGTGGAGCTTTTTAATGTAGCAAGTGTGAGAGCTCTTAGTGAGTAGTGACTTAGCAAATTATGTGTCTAGTGATCATAGTAACTAGAATTGTTGGATGGGTGGCTTGCAACCCTTGTAGAGCTAGAGCAAGTTTAGATTTTGCTATTTGTCATACTAATCAAATTATTATAGTTGGTTTGTAGATTTTTAAATAGGCTATTCACCATCCCTCTAGTCATATTAGGACCTTTCACCCTCTCTGAGGTAAAATCAGTAATCGATTTGTCCTTTGTGATGTTCTTGCTTGTGTGGTGATGATCTGTTTCGCTTGGTCATCTAGCTATTGATTCTATTAAACTGCCTATCAAAAGATCATACCTGTGAATTTGATTATTTTTTTAATTCCCTGTATCATTCATAGTTGTAGAGAAGTGAAAACCTGTAAGATGACACTCCATATACTATGTGTCAAGATTGTTTTCTAAATCATGCTTTTTGGTCATTTCCTTTGGTAGGCTACAAGCAAGAATATGGAGGTTGTTATTGGACTCTCAAGAGAATTTGAAGGTGAGTACAAACTACAAAGAGACCAGCCCCAGCAAGACTGCAAAATATATCTCTGAATATACACTATATGTATATCTTTGAATATATATCTCTTTATTTAGGTATAGAAGGGATGTTATTGGATCACTGGATTACACAGTAGCAGCAACAAGATAGTTTCAGTTTGTGGATGATGTTAACCATCCCTCAATAAAATAATATGTTCAAAATGTATCTAAAAGAAATTGCACTTGCTGGTTATTACAAGTTCCCTTTGTTTCAATTCTGCAATCGATTTGTGAATAAATATTAGTCTGCTACCACATTCAATTTTGTTTTAGATTAATGCATCTATAAATCGATGTATCGAAAAGCGCCGAGCTCATATTTGTCCAATGTTAAATGATGAAAGACTATTTTAGACGTTGACGATTAAATAGAAACAATGTACCGTCATTATTTAAACATGCTAAATGATTGCTTGCCTAGCAATGGTGTGCCGTGACCGATCTCTGTAATTTTAAAGATTATTTTGAGTATATATACATATATTAGTTATCTAAATATATCACTCATGCGACCCATATGTTTTTAGTATAAAAGTTTAGTTATCCCGTAGTAACGTACGGGCATGCTACCTAGTCTCTCTCCCTTAAAAATATCTACTACTCGTGTTTGCTCATCGCGTGTTGCTGTGTGTGCGCTCGTTGTTGCCGTTCCCGGCGGTGCTCCATCCCACGCCGCGCATGCTTCAGCTCGTTGCGCGCCGTGCCCCGTCCTCTGCGCCCGCCGAAGTGCTGCTAGGGTGATGCCGATGCCGTCGTTCCCCACCAAAAGGTCATGGTCACTGTCGATGCCGTGGCCGCCGCGACGCGCGACCTCAGAAAGGAGATGTTGCTTTGAAAACGTATGTTTCAAGTGTTTCAGACGTTTCAGAGGTATGTTGCAATTGTTTCGTATAAATGTTGCAAAAGTAGATCGAAGATGTTGCACATGTTGCAAACGTTTCAGAGGCATGTTGCAAGTGTTTCAGAGGTTTATTCAAAATATTTTATCTGTTCCAGACGTATGTTGCAAGCGTTTCTGATATGGATATTGCATATATTTCGCACATATGGTGTAACAATATGTTCCAAATATTTCAGTCTTATGTTGCAGTAAGTGTTTTCATGTTTTATCTAGATATTGCATATGTTTCACACATATGTTGCAAGTGTATGTTCTAGATGTTTCATCTATTTCATACGTGCGTTGCATTCAAACTGTTTCATGTTGCGCGTGTTTTATGTTGTTCGGAAAGTCAGGGGGCGTGAGGAGTGAGAGTGGCACGACACGAGCGCCGGGGAATGGGGCGCGGCGAGCTAGGGGCCGGTTGACCGGGGGGGCGCCGGTGTCTCGGACGGGGCGCACTAGGAGCCGGCGGTCAGGGCACAACGGGGGCAGGGTGCGCGTGCGGGGCGGAGCGAACGACCTCGAATCGAGGCGGACAGGACGGGCTGTGCGTGCTAGGCGAGTCGTTCGGACGCCTGGACGCTGCGACGGGGTAGGGTGCGTGTGCGGGGCGGAAAAAATCAGTGATGGGGGCAGGCTGCGCGAGCGTCCGGTCGCACGCGTCCGTCCCAACTTCTGGACGCTAGCAATGCCGTATATGTATTCATTCATCTATTTTTGATCGTATAAGAAGAGATGCAAGGGTTTACTTGTTCAAAAACACGTTCGATCCGGAGCATCACATCGTCGTTAATCACAAAAAAGGAATTAGGGGTCTAGATGTTCTGAGCCATGAGGTCATTACGAAAGAGCCACTTCTAAAGGCAACGGTATCACCGTGCAGGGTCTTGGCATGAATGACGGGGTCATCAGCTGCTTCGCACTAGTGCTACTATGGAATTTGTTTAATATTACTAGTGTGACTTGACCCTAATGGATGCCTCTAGCTCCGCCCTTGGATGATTTACCTTCTAATCGTCTTCCTTGCGTGATATAGCATAATAACTCAGTTGTACGCCTAGATAGTTGCTTATGATTGTTGTTTTGGTGCCAAGTTAAAATATGTAGCATAGTGGTATAAGAGCCTATCACCTCAGGTCCTTAATTCGATCTCCGTGGGAGCGAATTTTTCCGGATTTAATGGTGTTGTGCTTTTAGTGATAGCGACTTTTCCGTCGATAGCAAGAGGTAAGATTTGAGTGCATGCATTCATAGAGATGAGTATGCGTGCATTGTGAGTGTCTGCTTTCAACCGTATAATCGCAAAAAAAGGTTGAAACATGATGAAGGTTTTTTCTTGTTATTTTAATTCAGAAGAGGTTCTAAAGAAGACTATACATACTCGTGTCGATAACAACCTAACAATAGGATATTATTACGAGAGAAATACTTGTATGGCCCTAGAAAAAGTCTACCTTCTTTGTATGACATCTTTTTTTTGAACTTACCTATTTGACCCCAAAACGATTTTCATTGCCTTCTCTGGCCCTTCCGTCAAGTCTGTTGGCTTCCACCATTGCTTCTCTCCTGTAAGCTACGCGAAATGTCTAAATTGCCCCCTACTTGTTTCTTACAATTTCCGGCCGTGGCTGTAGTGCGCGGCGGCCATGACTGTAGCCACCCCTACGTCGTGCTCAACTACTTCGATCTCCTTTGGACGACTCGCCCATGCTCCTCTTCCCCAGCGAAAAGTTCAGAAAAAGAGGTCATACAAGGAAGCTATAGTTTTTCGGAGACCATACGAGTAATTATCTCTATTATAATTCATTTACACATAGTTCATTGATACTCTCGTCATTGTCGATGACAAGCAAGGGGCCAATCTACGCCATGTTCGCTTGACTTATAAGCCGTACTTTTTCAGCCAATGAACAATATTTTTCTCTCACAATAAATCAGCCAATAGTACTTTCAATCGTGGCTTATCAGCCAAGCGAACAGGGCACTAGCCTTTGCTATTAGGGGTTGTGCCACGCTGCCAAGAACTTCGGCAAAAACCAGTGAAGAATTAAAGTAATCACTATTCATCAATAGTGCTGACTCCTTTGTGCTAATGTGATAACTCTTGACTCTGATGTGTTTTGCATTGGTATATTGAACCTTCCCTCGGCCAGTCAGCCCTTTGATGCGAACATAGTGCTCGAATTTTTGGTAGGATCGCGGGGTTCAGATGGCATTTCGTGGAAGTGAGAAGCAAAAGCAAGAACTTGGTACGAGCCTTCGTTCTTGGGCTCTCTACCGGACGTAGGGGTGGGACATAATGAACCAAACTGACCAAAGGAACTATGACTAAAAATCAGTTTCCTGTTCAAGTCCGAATATTATGGAACCAAAATAACCAAAGAAAGTTTGATTACTAGTGTATTGCTATTGTTCTCTTATCGATTGTTATTATCTGAAATAGTGGTAGTGTTGCCCAAAATTGCTTTAGAGCCTACATATTTTTTGTTGTCTTAACTCTTAACCTCTACTGAAAAAGTCCGGTTAGAATCCGAGACACACCCAAAATAATCGAAAATTGAAACGCTTGATTCCTAAAATTTTCTAGAACTGATTGGTTCCCGTTTTATAGAAATCAAATTTCTTCAAGAACCAAATAACCGAATAGAAATCGAACAAAAACCGAATGCCCAGTCCTACTCCCGATGTACCACTGCCCTAGCGGTGTAACCATCGAACGAAGGTCGTATACCTGCCAACCACAGGAAGGAAAACCTTTTCCAAACCAATGCATACGCCATACCAGCTGCCATTTGCAGTCGCGGCAGCGTGCCGAGACCGCACGCAGAAAAGTCAGGCGCCGGGCACTGTGCTTCGAGACCCGGTCCAGCCGTCCGCCTCACGCTCATGGTCACGGAAGACGGAAGGCGAACAACACACAACCCTCTCACCAATTCCACGCCACGCGGATCCGGCCGGTGCATTACGATACGACTCCGTGCCACCACAGCCGTTTGGGAGTTCTTCCACTCCTGTTCCGGCAATCATGTCAGGGTCCATAACGACACCGGTGGACCGGCCAGTTTCGAGACAGCTACACCCGTTGTACTTTCTGTAAGGTCCAGCGCTACTGTCTCCATCCTGAACAAATGATTCCTCAACATCTTCTTCTAAAGGAAAAAATCTATGAACATTTCGGCAGCTGAGTAACATAATGCATGATCAAGTTTGGAAAAAGAATAGGGCAGTACGGGGCTGCCGACAGCAGGGAATGTGCTCCGGAGGAATCTAGGTTATCTTTTTTCCTGAAAAAAAATTGAACCAACCTAGGAGCAACTAGATCGCCCCGTCTACGAAGAAACTCATAAGGGTAGGGTTTACGTGCGTGCATTCATAGAGGTGAGTATGCGTGCATTGTGAGCGTCTACGTTATATCGTGTAATTCTAAAAAAAATAGATGACTTTATTATATAAGAAAGATATAGGCACACAAATTTGCCTCAACTATAACTCAGACTTGGGTGGTCTATGTGTACATCCACACTCTCAACAGCTCAGTTACTATAATCCAGGTTATCTTGGCATGATGGTCAAGTGAATTCCCCATCCTAACGCTAGCAGCAGCAGGAAGCTTGGTGTCTTCACCATGGATGAACCACCTAGAAAAGAAGATGCATATCATGGTGAGAATTCGTCAGATCCAAAATAGGCTCATCAGTATCTGTCCACAGAAATATCAATACAAAAGACTCCATTCTATAATAGCGCTTTTATCAAAAAAATAATAGCGCTTTTATGCATACATGGAATCAGCAACTTATTATGCAAGGGCAGTCCAGAGGAACACAATGTAACCATAGTCATGGCTTCCGAGTAGTAAGATCATTGATGTAGTAGACGAGAAATACAGGCATGGTTTAGCATGGCCAGTGTACTTACTGAATAATAGGTATTTATTCTGAATATTCCACTTGAAGTCCCAATGGATCATGTCATTCTTAAGTGTCCAGTATGACCACCCAAAGGTAGCGTTGGCATAAACATCCAACTGAGCTCTGCCAAACTTCTGATACTCATACTGAGATGCATTTTGCACGTCCCATTCATTAACCCATTCACCTGAACATAGGGACATAGCACCATGTTCAGTACAAATCAGGATGATGTGTGCTAGTACATGACTTTGGAAATAATCAAGTAGGACTGGAACAAAATAAACAGAACAATAGGGTTTTATCAAAAAAACAAAACAAAACAGAACAATAGGGTCTGTTGATAGTTTGGCGCACATGTTTCAACTTTCAAGTGACCGCTATCCATCAGAACCAGAAAGAAAAAGGTAGAAAGTGTAATGACTAACAGGTCCCAACTCCAGCATTTAAAAAATAAGATGAAACCAATAAAGGACAATAGTATGTAGGGACTCTATTAATTTGAAGAAGGGCCGGCAAAGCAGAACTATTGTAAAAACGTAAGTAGGGTATTAAACATACCAATGAAGACAAGAGGCCCATTCATTGCCTTAAGGTCTTGTAACTGCGGTGCTCTCATCTTGTAAATAAATTCAATATTCTGAGTGGAATTCATGGTGGCAAAGTATGGATCAAACAAGTTGTAGTAGTGTAAATCAACTACAACATTTGAAAGACCAATACCAGCTTGAAAGAGTTCGATTGGGTCTGCATTCCCAATTCTTTGACACAGAATAACATATGCAGTTGATGAATGGTTTCGCACAATTTGATATCCCCTCATATAGTAGGACACTAGAACATCTAAAGGAACTGTAGCTGCAGAAGGTTCGTTCAGAAGCTCAATACCCAAAAGGGAAGGATGGCCTCCGTACCTGCAAAGCACAAGTTCAGGAAAGCCGCCTATAACATTTCAAGGACAGACCGGGATATCTAAGAACATCAGAAGCTACCAGCAAATACAGTTTTCATGTTCAGTGAGAGGAGATGCAATTGCTGACATATTTTGATGGTGGAGAACCAGCTCAGGAGAAATGCAGGTAATTACCATTCGAACGGTTTAAGATGAAATGCTAGGTGAACGAATACCTTGTCGCCAGGAAGTCAATAACCTCCAATGTTTGTGAGATATATTCAGGCGAGGGCCAGTCCACGGAACCATCCCTGCTCGCACTATGTTCCATTCCATTTTGAGAACCAGGAGCAGCATGAAGATCGATTATACATTTCAATCCATAAGATCTAATCCAACAGAAGTAACTATAGCATCAGGAAAGATCAGGGATATCAAACACTGCAAAGAAGAGTTTGGAAGCATGACATACTGTGCCCATGAAAATGCTAGGTCCAGGGCTGCCAAAGACCCTCCAACAAATGGAGAAGGTGGATAAGGATCTTGTGTTATCCACCATCCAACAGGAATTCTCACAGTATTAATTCCGTTCCGAGATAGGAAATCAAAGTCGTTTGCTGTAATGAAACTTCTTCTGTGCTCCTTAAAAAGCAAAAGGAAGAGTCAAGGGATGTTATACATAAAGCAAAAGAGGATTTGTCCAGCAAATTCCAAAGAGAGTGCCCAATGACATACTTCTAAAACCATCTTCGCCTTGTCATAACCATAACCATTGGCAAGCTGGTAGTCCCCATGCAAGTTATTGGCAACAATCACCAATTCAAATGTCGCTAAATTATTATCCCATCCTGGTTGGAATTGATAAGTGGAAATAAGCAGATGATCGTTTGTCGCCTAAGTTAAAAGGAGATTGCAATGTCTTGTTAATGGCACAACTTGCATGAAGGCGACTAAGGGACAATCACATATAACACTTTGAAATTATCGAAATGAAACCATGGACCGAACAATACTTGCACATAGCCTCCATTCAAAAGTCTGATATGAACCCTTCCAGCATTCCTTTCAATGAAGAAAGTCTCGGTGGACAATGGATGCTTTGCAGTTGCCAAGATCAAACCATCTTCACTGTTCGATGTCAAAAATTGACCTCCAAGGCATCGAAGCTGAAATTCATTATCTGACACCCTCCAAAGCTGTTTAAAAAGGAAAACCAGTAAGGCCATATTTAAGCTCAACCACTAAGCGGAATGACAATTAGAAAACCAAAAGGTGCAGGTAAATAATAGAATTATACCAATTCAATGACTTGCAGTTGCTTCAATGCTAACCATATTGCAAAAAATAATAAAATGGTAATGAACATATATTCTAACTATATAGGGAGAAAAAACTGTTAAGCTATAGATGTCTCATATCTGTTCACGGCAATCCTACATGTGAATTGGCGCTAAAATTGCTTAGGAAGCGCATGACTGTTGACTGTACAAACATTTTGACCACACGACACAAAATATATCAGCAGTCCTTCACCTATGCAATTCAGTGTTCAATTAAACTTTACAGTGGTTCAAATCATCATTAATTTCTTGTAATGTGATAGATCCTAATGTGAAACTGCAGTGGCCATTGGTTTAACCATAACAAGAACTAAAGAACAACAGTTCATGATAACTGGTCAAACCAAGTCAGAAAAGGAATATTAGCATATAGCAGAAAAATTGTACCCAGTGGCAGAACGTGGAGTGAAATTAAGCGCTAGTCTATTACAACATACTTAAGTTCATAGCAAGAGAGGGATAACTAGAATTTAGCTTGTACTTAAGTAGTTCTTGAAGCTTTACCCTATTGTAAAGTCTAAACAAAACAGTAATACCAATACGCTTCATACCTCTTTGAAATCAGACTAATAATTTGAGATACTACCATAGCTGGAATAACGCAGAGGATTATCCCTCTGTAAAACACAAACCAGCAGACTAATACTTCTTTGAAATGAAACTAATACATTCCATGTACTCTCACCCTGAATGTCTCCCACGTTGAGGCCACATCACGGTCCACTGTCACATTTGAGCCACCACCATTAGCCGCACTAACATACTTATGCAATACCACTGAGCGGATCTGCACCTGTGTCCCATCCTGCAAATATAACCCTATAGAGGATCAAACCCATGCAAGCATCAGTTTACCAAGAACACACAGTGAATAACTAAGATCAATCCACCAACGAGCATATCCCCATTTGGAATCCCGTCAAAAAGTGATGGCTTAATCCACCCTTCAATGACCAACCATCCTCCCAAGTTAACACCCCTGACCTTAGACAGTCCATTCACTGCAGAAAAAAACAGCCACTTACCATGTTATGCAAAACTTTTGCTGAGAACACCGTACAACCTAAGACTGGCAGCTTGGTTACCATTTTTAACAAGAAATCTCTGAACTGTAAAATTTTCAGTAAATTTTACTAACTATTTTCTTCAATAGTACAAAGGTACATTTAACTCAGTTAGCTAACCAATATCAACAGTCTCTACAGCAAATTGCATAATTCAGTTCAAATTTCTTTTAAAAATATGCATAAGTAGAATCGCTAAAAGTATATTAAAAAAACTGTATGCGAATACAGTGCAATTCTTCAATCATCAATATCTTTTTGTCCTTGTCCATGCAGAATTACAACACATTCATATGTATAGCATAATGGATTATTTGCATTTTGCACTAACATCTACTGATTGGAGTGTACTATTTCCCTGAAATTAGATCAGCATAGAATCTTTCTTCCCAAAAGACATAAAACTCATCAGAACTCTAAAGTACACGATCAAGCATCTCACCTGGGAAGATGCAGGACAAGAAAAGCACCCCAGAAGACAGCACGAAGGCAGAGACAACAAGACCACCCATGCCGGTGCCCTACCACGGCACGGGACCAGAGCCTCAGCCACGGGAGGAAGAAGCTATTAAGGCCCCCGAGGGTTCGGGTGCCTTCCTTGCCGCGGAGTTTATCCCAAGGCGCCCGCCGCAAGGCCGTACTGGCGCAGGCGGTCGCCATTGGCAATTAAGGAATGGAATTAACGCTTGCTGCTTGCCTCGTCGGGGAGTGGTAGGAATCCACGAAAAGGAAAGGTTCCCAGCGATTTTTTAGTCGCGAGGTCGCTCCCCGCGCTCGACGGTGGCAGCAGGAGAGAGCGTCCCTGAGACCGTGACAGTTGGGGTGGAGGTAGATGCTCCCCGGAGACGACGGCTTTGGCGACGCCGATGCGTGATGGAAAGAGTTGGGCAGGCCGAGGCCACGAGCCCACGAGGCAGTGACAAATCGGCCTCAAGAGATACTTAGGTTGGTGGGCTGGGTAAGCCCACTCTATGCATAATTTCGGCCTGACAGCCCACGTGACCAGACGAGACCAGCCAAGCAAAACCAGGCCCGCTCAGCCTCGCAGGTTCTCAGCATTCCCAATTCCTCGAGACCACCGCGCCCCCCCTCCCCCCATTCCCTTCCCGGCGCCGCTTGCCGTCCGCGCCCCTCCGGCAGCGCTTATCCCGGGTTCGGTCCGCCCTGCCGTGCCGCGGGCGCAAGCGACGTCACTTTTACTAAATTATCAGGTTCTGTTCTGACCCGATCCCATTCCACCTATGTTTGTTCTATTTAGTTGTGTGGATTCTGGTTCGTCTGATTGTACCCATTCATCGGGAGATCGGGTGCTGCGGGAGCAGTTATCCGGTTATATTGCGTGGTGGGCAGGAGACCGGGAGCCTGATTTTTCTGCTCTTAAACTCAGATGAACCTCGCAAATGTGGGATAATAAAATTGTGAATTTTCTGTGTGCGTAACGATTTTCACTGGAGGAGTTTAGTTTGGTGGATTGCTCATGGATATTGGATGACATTGGTTTTTTTTTTTGCTTTTATGTAATGCAGCTTGTAGCTATTCTACTTGATTGATTTAGGTAAAGCAAGTAGTCCCTCCGCTCAAATTGTAGTTCACTTTGGCCAAGTTTATAGAAAAAATGCATTGGCATGCACAATATCAAATTGTTTTCATTGAATTCTCCATGTATGTGTTGATAATGCATTTGTTTGAACTTATAACATTTTTCTAAAATTGGTCAAAGTTAGAGAAGTTTGACTTTGGACAAAGCAAAAAGTGAATTATAATTTGGAGCAAATGGAGCATCTAATAGGAAGAACAGCTCTGCATTTGTTCTTTGTTTATTCTTACAGGGAGAAAAAAATACCTTAACTTCAATGAAGTTATTTGGAACAGATGGAGTATCTAATGTAGCAACTTGTAAGATGGTCTGAAGTGTAGTTTCATGAAATTGTCTGCATGTTATTATGCAATAAATGAAGATTATTTGATGCAAATTGGAAAACCATCATTTTGAAACTATTGTCCTTTACTTGCTAGTTTATTGAAGCACTCAACTTCAATGAATGAATATGCAATTCACTGGACCTACAAGGATAGACCTTGCTCGTTTTAGCTTGAGCAAGTTTTGATCATCCTTTTGGTGCCATATTTTGTTCCCTATGTAAGTCGCATAGTCATAAGTCATTTGAGTGTATAATTTTGTGCATATTTTGTTTAGTTCTTAACTCCCTTTTCTTTTCTAACAATTGGACTGTTTTTCAGTTAAATTTGCAAATAGTAACACTAACTTCTTCACTTCTTCAGATTGCTGAGAAGAGAAGAGGAATGCCTTACATAGATGTCATGCATACAAGTGACTCTTTTGTTTTTGAGCGGAAAATACAGCAGGGGAGGCCCCCACTGTAAACTTTTTATAAAACAAAAAGAGCAACAACAACTCTAAACAAGAGGAAACAAAAAGGGAAGCAAGCCAGAGGTGGGCAGCAGAGCTAAACTAGAGCAGTTGTACAAGAAAGGAAGACAGAGCTTGTCAAGGGCGTCGGCGTTAAGGGTAGTAGGACCCCCGACTACGTAGTTCGTAGTCACGATCCGTGACTAAGGCGAGGTTTTACCCCTCTGGGCTTAGTTTGTTTGGAAGAAGAGAGAAAGAGAGATTAGATGACAATATCTTCCTTATTCCCCTTCCATTGTCACCGTACCAGACTAAATAGGCCTTAGAGGCTAACAAACCAGGAGCTAATTAGTTCCTTAATCTAAGGAACTGACTTGATACTTTTTCTATCCTAGCCACTAGATGGCTCAACCTGCTCTGCATGCCCAGAGGGCGACGGCGCGGCCCCAGTAGCGCGCTTGACGGCGCGGCGTATGTCTCGGGCGCGCCGTTTCCTTGCATAGGGGCGGCCCACATGACATCTCTCCCCCCCTCAACGAGCAGCTCGTCCTCGAGCTGGAAGGATGGAAACCTGTCACGAAAGGAGTCCAAGTCTTCCCATGTAGCAGAGGCAGCAGGTTCGCCTTTCCACTGGATGAGCACTTGGCAGATCCCACGGGCCAGACAAGCGCGCACCGCGTGTTCTGGCTCCGGCTCCACCACACCGTTGTGCATAGCTGGGAGAGGTGGCAGAGCAGCTGGAGGGTTGCCCACCCACTTCTTCAGGAGGCCGACGTGGAAGACATCATGGAGCTTGGCGCGCGGGGGTAAGGCGAGGCGGACAGCCACGTCATTGATGAGCTCCGTGACGCGGTAGGGCCTGAAGAAGCGTGGATGTGGCTTCCCTTTAGGTGCCTGGGACAGCAACGCTACTGGGCGATGGCGTGAGCGGAGCAGGACCCAGTCGCCCACGGCGTAGGAGACGTGCCAGTGATGCTTGTCGTAATGGAGCTTCTGGACAGCTTGAGCTTGCTCCAGCCGGTACCGCACGGCCACCAAGAACTCCTCGCGTTCGGCCATCGTTTGGGCCACAGCATCCACGCGCGTGTCCCCGGGCTCATAGGAGCGGATGGTTGGAGGATCATGGCCATATACCACCCTGAATGGTGTGTCATGCAGCGAGGTCTGGTATGCCATGTTGTAGATGTACTCGGCCCACGGCAGCCAGCGGAGCCATTGACATGGGCGGTCACCGGTGAAGCACCTCAGGTACATGGCGATGACGCGGTTGGCTGCCTCTGTCTGGCCATCCGATTGCGGGTGGAACGTCGACGTCATGTGTAACTTGGTGCCCATGAGTCGCATCAGCTCCTTCCAAAATGTGGAGGTGAACACGGGGTCCCGGTCCGACACCATGGACTGTGGCATCCCATGGAGGCGTACAATGTCGGTGAAGAACGCCTGGGCCATAGACTGCCGAGTATGGGTGCGCGAGGGGGATGAAGCGGCAGTACTTGCTGAAGTGGTCCACCACCGTTAAGATGATGGACTTCCCCCGCACACGTGGCAGCGCCTCCACGAAGTCGAGGCCGATATCAGCCCAGACCGCCGTCGGGACCGGAAGGGCCAGGAGCAGGCTGGGCCGGGTGGAGGTGCTCCGATTTGTAGCGTTGGCACGTGGCGAAGGCACGCACGAAGTCTTGGACGAGGCGGCGCATGTCGGGGAAGTGAAAGTCCCGGCGGAGACGATGCAAAGTGCGCTGCACCCCCTCGTGGCCGTCCTTATGCACCGAGGCCATGATCTCCGGAAGAAGGGGCGATGTCGGTGGCACATACAGCCGGATGTCGTAGGTCACCAGGTCATCGGTGAGAGACCACGGGGCAGCGCGCGATCCTACAGCGATATCGTCCCGGATGACTACCAAGGCCGGATCGGTGGCCTGAGCTTGGCGGCGTATGATGAAGTCGAAGCGCGGCGCGGAGATGGCCAGCACAACGCCGTCGTCCGTATCGCGGCGGGGAGAGCGCGTCCATGACCGTGTTGAGTGCGACGGGCTTGTACTCGATGGTGAAGTCGAACCCGAGCAGCTTCCCGACCCAATGGTGCTGTGGAATCGTGGCGAGGCGCTGGTCGAGGAGGAACTTCAGGCTGTAGTGGTCTGTGCGCATCGTGAAGCGACGACCCCAAAGATATGGGCGCTAGTTTCGGATGGCGTGGACGAGGCCAATGAGCTCGCGCTCGTAGGTGGCGAGGGAGCGGTGTTGGGGCGCCACCGGCCGACTGAAGTACGCAATGGGGTGCTTGTCCTGGATCAGCACCGCCCCAAAGCCGTGGGTGGACGCATCGCACTCGACGACGAATGGCCGTGCAAAGTCCGGGAGCGCCTGGACCGAGGCCGTGATGACCGTGGCTTTCAGAGCCTGGAAGGCCTCGGTGGCATCGTCATTCCAGGTGAAGCCATCCTTCTTCAACAGTGCCATTAGCGGAGCTATGATGGCGCCGTAGTCATGGACGAACTTGCGGTAATAGCCCGCAAGGCCCAAGAACCCTCGCACTGCACACGCCAAGCGGGGTTGGGGTCAGTCACAGACCGCCTGCACCTTGGCGGGGTCCATGGCAACGTCGGCGTCGGAGATGACATGCCCCAGGTAGGTGATGGAGCGCTCGCTGAAAGCGCATTTAGAGCGCTTGATGAAGAGGCAGTGCTACTCCAGCACGACGAAGACGGCCCGCAGGTGGCGAAGATGATCAACCCATGATGCACTATAGATCAAAATATCATAAAAAACATGAGTACAAATCGACGAAGAAAAGGCCGCAGCACGTCGTTCATCAGGGCCTGGAACGTCGCCGGGGCGTGGCATAGCCCGAACGGCATGACCAGGAACTCGTATAGACCGTCGTGGGTGCGGAACACCGTCTTGGCGATGTCGTTGGGACGCATGCGGACCTGATGGTAGCCCGAACGTGGGTCGAGCTTGGTGAAGAACTTGGCGCCGTGGAGCTCATCTAGAAGCTCATCGACGACGGGTATGGGAAAGGCGTCCTTGATGGTGATGGCGTTCAGGGCGCGGTAGTCGACGCAAAACCTCCATGATCCATCGGCTTTCTTGACGAGGAGGACGGGCAAGGAGAACGCCAAGGAGCTCCGTCGGATGAGT